GCCAGTCCGATGTTCGGATATCGTTCTGTTCATATGATATCTCATTGATACACGTGTTATTAGAAACTAATGCTTGTGCGTATCAGCGGTGTCTGACGAAAGCTTTCACCTTGATATTCACCAATAATTGCCATGAAGACTGACGTCACATAATCCAAATACCATTTCACAGTAAAATCGAAGCAAGGAAAACTCATATTCGATCATTCCATTATGTGTTGATCCGCCTCGTCAAGATACTGTTATCAGAATTTGAAGAAGAAGCTTCATGGGTCATGTATATCCTGAGTTTGCATACAATCAATTCGGAGGAAATGTTACACTCGTATGAAGCCCACAAAAAATACTTGAATACGAGAGTGCGATTTCACCAAACTAATAAACCGGAACAATCACATTGGATGATTTACGAGAAAGATGAGCATTGTTGACATGATAGAATTTTGTGCGTTGACAGTCTATGGAGATGGAATGAATTCGGTTTAGCTGAGAAGCTTCACTGACTAAGAAATCGATCGACGAGCTGGAAGATGAGGACATGTGAACTGTGATAGATTAGTCGAAGTAATTACTTTTATTTGGCCTGTTCAACTTATCAACAGTCTGATTTTGATACGTTGTTTCAAAAGTTGTATGCAGATTTTGTAGTCGTTCATTTCACAGTTGAGTGGCAGTGTAGAACTAATCTCAGTTTATTGCCATCTGTTACAATAGTACCCGTTGTCGTTCCATTGGGTTCCAAGTAGAAAATTGGATTTCGAAAACACGCAGCATGTAACACATGTATGGTCTGCAGTTGACCCTGTGTTTGTCTCTAATGTACGATGTCCGCTTATCACTGATTGATAGAAAGATCACTCACGCTATCACTTCAAGCAAGATGATCAAATAGAAATTTGTGTTCAATGTCGCATAACCATTCAACAGCAATATGAGTATGCCATTTGACAAGTGATCCGCTACAGCTATGGGTATGCAGTAAAAGTTACACCCCTATGAAACTCACACCGATACGCAAATTACTTGAATGTGAGAATGCAACATGTTCCAGCTGATAAACTGGAACAATTAAACTACGTATTCTACGACAAAGATGAGAATAGTTGACACGACGGAATTCGGTGGTGTGACAGTATATGAAGATGCGTTTTGTTTAACTGAGCGTTGTCACTGAAAAGGAGTCATTCAAGGAAATTTAAAAGACAATGCCACGTGGACGTAGATGGATTGGCTCACATACTCAGATATTTTGCCTGTTCGACTTATCAAGTGATGCGTTGTCTCGAGACTGTCTCTGAGTGAGCACTCGTTCAAGTGATGACAACGTATAACCAGTCTCAGTTTTTTTCTTTCTAGGTTACCAGTAGATGTTATGGTTCTTTTCGTAAGAGAGTAGAAAACACATGTCCACTGTGTTACACTTTGTTAATCTCGAGTTGGAGCAGTGTTAGTTTCTATTATATGATGTCCGCAAATCCCTGATTGATAGCAAGATCATTCTATCAAACCACGTGAGGAGGCTTAACAGAGATATGGATAAACTTTGCAGAATTCCACAGCAGCATGAAGATGTCATATTACAAGTGGTCAACAACAGGACAGGAAAGCAAAGAGATTTGAGTATGTGATCACTGTTGGTATTCCTACTTGTAGTTGACTGGATTGAGCTGGAGACTGTAAGTTGAGTCTGAGAAAACTCGTCGGACAATTAGGAAGAACAGCCTTATGTAAACACAGAGGAGATGAACCTGCTGAAGATAGTCATACAACCGACCATCAACAAATACAAAAACGACAAGTCTATATCAAGCGAATAAATTTGAAGCAGGTCACTCGTTTCACTCGGCTAGAAAGCATCGTTTCAGCTACAGGCAGCCAGTAGCGCCTAGCATGTGAAGGTGTGAGATTTAGAAGCGTAAGACAAACGCAGACCCACACCTACTGCATTTCTGAAAAGTTGCTGCTTCCATACTGAAGTTCAGATGACAAGCTGTCCAGAGGTGATTTTCGCGAGAAACTCAGAGAATGAACCAATCGAAGATTTGTGCATGGATGAGAGGGTCACATGCAGGCGATCACGTTTGCTGCAGGAGATAGGAGGCGATGCCCAATCATAGAGTCACATTTAGTTGGATACAGAGAACAGCATAACATGGAGATGCCTTATTCTACTCGGAATCAAACGCGACAATAATATACACCAGTTTATATATGAACAAGTATATGGACATTATATCTTCTCACTCCAATGAATCATTAGGACAGGCAATTAGTAATGGGATGTATGATAAAGTCAGTAATTTTCAAAGCTGGAGAAATAATTAAGCAGTGAAGAAAACAATGAAAACCAAACACATATTGAATATGACTCAAATGAAAGTTGTGCACATAATACAACGACAGTAAGAGGTACAGTGATTTCATCACGAGTGTAGATTCGAAGTACAGTGAGTGGAAATGTATGAACTTCTGAAGGGTTTGTTCACATTGAAATATCAGTATTGAATTGACTAATAATCGAAAAGCTATACTGCTGATACAGAAGTGATTCTTTGTGAAAGCTGCCTAACAACAAGGCATTGATAATTATATTTTCAATCTACGATACATAAAACAGGGTTTCATTGATGGCGTTAACGAATGAAGAAGACTACCTGTCTGAGAAAAGTGAAAGTTTACAGAGCATCACCCGATATGACTAGCTGAATTGGCCTGAAAAGCAAAGCCAAACATCGAGAGGCATTCTCTAATGAACTCAGATTTATTTGGACTTGTTCATCACTCATGTATGCACAGTGCTAACGGCATGCAAAGACACGTAAATGACAGCTATCCTGTGCATAATTTGTTTCCATTACCATGAAATCTGTCAATGGTTGTTGTTCAAAGGAGAATAATAGCTCAGGGAAATGTTGTTTGTGTACACGATTCATCACTCGTTGGAGATTTCAGTAAGATTAGAAAAGTAATACATGTCTAACAAATGTCTGACATCTGGTCACATACAATCCTTATTCACGAACTGTCGTATTCAGGAAAAGACAAATTCAATCAGCCAATGCATAAAGTATATTTTACTATCCATGGCTGAAATGAGGCGTCTATTGATCAAAGCGAATTCCGGAACGTGTTGAACCGCCAATTTTATGGAGCAGATATGTGAGTTGATATCTATTTGTACAATCTGTAGAAAACTTCGTTGGAGTCTGCGATTTGAATAATGAAGTTGTCTTCCATATTTGCAGAGATACTCTATTTTCTGTATGTGATGACATTCAGGAAGCGGAAATTCTCATTACTACGGAGTTCAATGGTGCCCATTCAAATATCAAGTTCTCAATGAAACACGAAGTCAAAATTCAGCCACGCATTCTTGAGTTGTGGAAGAAAACGAAATGTAATCTACAGAAACATGAACAGCTTTTGTCGTATAATTTTCTGGAGAGGTGTGGTCGTGACCCTACACTTAGATGCTAGTCAGCTCTTCTCTGGAAAACTGAAATTGATTTCAACAGTTAAAACCGAGGGAACAGTGTATGCGAGAAACGATTATTTAGCAAATTCATTCACAGTTACAATAGACTGTGTTATAAAGAAAACACCGTTGACAGCTAAAATGATAAATTCATCGCCATAATTTGCAATAAGTAGAAGAGAAAAGCGTCAGTGATTTTCCGAGTCACATATTGTGTTGTAAATTCTACACTTGACATCTTATATGAAGCACAGAATAATGCAATGCAGTGAGATACAAGCACGCTGTTTCATGGAATATAGTTATAACCATGGAATTGAGCAAGGAAAATTATCGACAGAATGTGATTAGGACAGTGGGACTTATCACTCTTAATCAATTTTACTTTACAACGTGAAATACAAGGTTGTCATATTTCACACAATTTCAACTAACTTTTTGTATTCCATTTGCATAATAATCACGCAATCACACACCATTTATACAGTCTATGTAGTCGCTAATGTAGTTCGCTACATTATTCGGTACGTTACTGCACACTGAACTACGACCATAACTTCAAAGAGATATGAATCTGAATTGCAATCTGTTATTATTACCATCTCAGTGTACATGCGTTTGCTTGAATTCACTCAGTGGATATGATTTCTTTGGAAACCACACCCTATCTGAATGCAGAGCTTGATAACAAAAAATATTTGAAAGAATTCTATCTACTGGAACACTTGGTTTTAGATTTATTCTAAGTGAACGAATTCACATTATTTTCATCGGGTCAACGTTGTGCAGTGAGTTTGTAGTGAAATCGAATCGGATGTCGCAGGCAATTGACGATAAACAAGACACCTTGTTGTGTCTCGTTGTGAAGTGTGTCTGTTCATTTGATTTGTGATTGGATATTGAGCATGACTAGTGTAGAGGTGCGATGTGCTTGCGGTTGAGCCTAGTAGATGAAGGTATTGATTTGTTCATGTTAACAGTCGGAAGGGTGTTGGCTGATATTCCACTTCCGTCATCTGATTTTAACGTACACCGATAAGATTATCGCAATGACGATAATAGAAATCTACAAAGTGTAGGATAACCTGAGGAAAGGTCTTTGCTTTCATTTCCTTTGCGCTACACAAGCTTCTTCTACTCAGTTGGAAAACCCTGATCCATGCATACGAATCGAATTTATTCGACCACTCCAACTTTCATGGAATAAACTTGTTGCTTAGCATCAACCTGATTCTCGTGTCTTTGTCGATTTGTTCGCTCTTCTACCTCTTGTCTTTCTTTACAACTCACTCTCTCATCATTCCATAATCGTCTTCTATTTGCATCAAATTATTCATCATAACTTAAATACACTTGATCAGCCGCTCCAAGGCATTCACCACCGAGGACAAATATAATTGTGACAGCTGATCACTTCTGTTGATATCCACTGCTCACTGAAATCAATCATTCACTGACTGTCTCAGCATTCCAGAACACTTCATATTTGTCATTCACACGGAAGCAGTTTATGTATATAAGTTTATTCGAAACGATCTAATCTACAGTAAGAGGAAGAAGAAGAGGATATTTCTATTCGGTTTCACAAACATCAGAGCAGAGCATTTCAATAAGCACAGTTGAAAGTAGTTTTCAGTTACACAACAATTATTATTGCCAACTCCGTCATTTTCTTGTCAGTTCCAATAGTGTTTTGCACGAGCATAGTCTATAGGCTCATGTTCTCAAGTGAATCAGGCAACGTCATCCCACTTCTACACCTCCTGGAGGAATGAAAGAAAGACGACAACCAAGTGATGAGTACACAGCGAAATCAGTTTGGATAAATCCAATGTTCAAAAATGGATGCATAACAAGTAAAGTGACATTTCAAGAATCAGAGGCAATTGTATTTGTGGCTGTAGATATAGTGTCAATCGCAGTGATTTCTGTCATGCACAGAAGTGAATATGCCTGGGACAGAGAAGAAAATGTCGCTGAAGAAATGACATCAAAAGAAAGAAGATGGCTTGGATTTGTGCAGTGGACACCGGTGAGTGAAATAAAGTGCGAGGGTACCACCGATTGTTGCTTCCATGTGCCTTGGTGAGTTGGATGACAATTAGTGAGGTTGAGGATATCGAGGTTTTAGGTGCGTGCGTGTTTGGTGTAGATGAGAACCTATGGACAATCTCGGAGCCAATCGAAGCGGACTTTGCGATTTAGTTACTGCCTGGAAACGTTCTCAATTTCTTCTCTGACATACGGCTCTTCACACGAAATTCATGCTGAATATCGTATGATTCAGGTGACACATTTTCCTGTCCACTCCAGCATGGAGTTTGTTCTTCTCTCACACTCTTCTCGAGTATTCATGTGCGTATTGACATTTATGGCAGTTAGCCTAGTTAAAGATTGCACACCACCAATCCCACTTACAGCCTGCGGTGTTCAGCGCGATTTGACTAAGTCTGATTTTTAAGTGACCATCGAAGAACAAGTGGGGTGAATAATGAAGAAGAATGGGCGGAATATGTGAATTCATATAATTGTAAGAGAAAAAAAAAAAAAAAAAAAAAAAAAAAAAAAAAAAAAAAAAAAAAAAAAAAAAAAAAAAAAAAAAAAAAAAAAAAAAAAAAAAAAAAAAAAAAAAAAAAAAAAAAAAAAAAAAAAAAAAAAAAAAAAAAAAAAAAAAAAATTTACTCCCCTACACAGTGCCGTCAATAATATAAGGATCAGTCTGTGCATGTCCTGTTCACTGCAGAAATCAACAAACTTTTTGACGTGAGGATGGATTTTATTTTAGACCATGCTGTGGGAGACTATTTATTAACTGCAGGAAAAGATATATATATATATACGAGAAGAATGCAATGCAGAAGCTACTGGGACGGAGATCGTCAGATCATCGTCCCGGGTGAATATAGAAGGGCATGCAAAACAAAGAGAGAAATCGAGAATGTACAGCACTTCCAGGCATATCAGTATCCGTTGGCAGCGCATTTGGGTGTTGTTGACTTAAAGCAATAATTTGTTTTCTACCGTATATACTGAGCTCTGCAGAAGCAAGTGAATACACAAATACCTATCGCACCTATTTCGAACACTACTGCTCTTGTTGTTATATTAATATTATAATCACCCATTGTCTAAGTTTTTTTTATGCCAACTACATGAGGTATGCAGCCATCGAATGTTACACCACGGAACAACAACGACACAAACAGCCACAGTTTTCTATAGAACAGAAGGCTCTTGAGAATTAGGTGAGCATATTTGTGGTAGCATTATCAAGTAATTTAGATGTAATTGGCATTCAACAATTTCAGAAAACGCAGAATTCAAAAGTAAAAGAAGACTCACAGTAAACCTTGACGAAATCCTCCTTTCATTTCTATCTCACTGAAGGTTGGTGGTCTCAAGTCAACTCTCCATATACAGTCGCCATTCGCAACTGTCACATTTAAACCATCATTCAAATAAAATCGGATCGTCCCGATTCGGACATTCATTACTCCTTGAAATAAAATAAACAAACAGGCATTTTAATGGTTAGTAGGAAAGATTGGAAAGCTCTACAAATCTCAACCTTGTTCGTGATGGACATGAACTGATAATGGTACGTACAATTATCAGTTGAGTTTTGATGTTCATTTGGCAGGGATCAGGAATGCTAATTTGTAAGTCCATTGTAAGCACATCTTATGCCAGAAGTAGACAGTCAGCCTTTGATATACAATGAATATTTAAACATGAAAGTCGATGTAAAGGTGGATGCGGGTCTAATACATTGATTGAGTTAGATTGTTTTCAGTTCATACAAAAAAACCACGAGTTGATTCTATGATAAATATGCTTCGGCTGTATACAACCAGAGATACAAGACTAAACAATCAAAATCAAACGGAACAATAAGGCACTACTCTAATCCTACAACCTCCACAACTTTTGTATTATCCGACTACATTTCCGTTTGAATATTTGTCGAACAATAAACTCATCGTTGTTTGTTGAAACAGCCGTTGTTCAAAACCTCAATCTTCTCCCTTATTCTCAGGTGGAGTGCAGATGAATTCCACACTGATTTCGGAGCCAGCGTGAATATAAATCTCGCCTTCCCAAATCTGGTTTTCTCATTCTCATCAATCCAAACCGCCTGTACTAGAAAGGAAGTGACGTCTCTGAAATTTATCGCACAGAAAAATATTAGTGCTTGTTGTTGTCGTTAGTGTGTTGGTTGTTTTCCTTACTTCCATATTCTGCATCTTTACTTGAAGTCCTGTATTCCCAATCTGCTTCTCTCACGTGCTTGTTGGTTTTCGCCTGTCAGCCTTCGAGTTGTCTGGCATCTGACACATAACATAGTCGAGCGAATTCAACATTTTCTCCAGTTTTCTGACTGGTACAGCCTATTCCTGTCTTCTCGTTCTCCACATCTTAAATTCACGCAAACTCCTGTGACGCAAAATCCTTGACAATTATGAATACCATCGCTGAAAGCAGTCAGTTTGTGCCGTCCTCCTGCTGCATTCATACCAAAGGCGAGCGGAGCTCAGCTCACTTCCTTTCTGTTGATCGCTGAACGTCTGACCACTATACCTAATAAAGTCAAACGTTATCCGGATACGTGATATGGATCATAAAGTGACATTGACTGGAGAACCTTAGGAAAACGAGAATGACGTGACAAACAGTTGGTCCAAGTCTGATGCTCTCGAGCGATGTCCACTCACTAAAAAATGACAAATGGAACCAGAAACGTCCAAGTGAGGGAATGTTCACAGAGACCTTTCACTCACTAGGACGAAATTCAGTGCCATATGGATTCTCACTTAGACTGTACCACAATATAAAGCGCCGCTGTTATTTAATCTCATCATCGCTTAGTATATGTTCTCACAGTTGTCATCAATTCTCACTGGAATTTCAGATAGCTTCATACTTCAGTCAGTCAAACATTCATTGGTGAGAAGTATCCAGATTTCGAAGAAGTGATTTTTCAGGTGGCAGGTTGATGGATGAAATCATATTTACTTCAGGCATTTGCACACAGAAGAAATTTTAATTACCTGAGCCAACTGACATCGGATACCACATTTCCTCTGATTCAACGTTTTCGAAATTGACTATGCACAGACTGACAAGTATGATGAAGTTCAGTTTTGTCCCCTGAGACACCATTTTACTAAAAATATTCAAGAAAGTGGAAAGAATGACATTTTGATTCGATGTAATTTGAAATGAATGACAGTGAGTGAAACATAGATATTCGAAAGCATATCTCACAATTTTCACTTATCCCATATCCTCTACAGTGTAACAGCACGACTGTGCATACTACCTCATCTCATCCAGCCCACATCATCTCCATCATATCATAATGAAAGTCACTCACATCTTGTCGTTCACAATTCAGCTGTCACTTTAGCGATTACCTGACGTGCAAGAATTAACTTCAATATTGATATATGCATGAATAGCATTCTTGATTATAATATGGTGAACATCGATTGCTCTGAGTGAATATTTGTAAAGAAGTATGCGAATTATTTGTCCGATTCTGAAATCCCGAGAGTATGACAGGGTGAAATTGAACAACAGTTCCATTTTGAAACAAACATTGTTCACAGCGTAATATGTGACCTCCATCATATCATAGTGAGACCGAGTCATATCTCGTCACTAATAATTCCGATGGCACTTAAGCGATGCAAGTTGGTTGATCTCAGTTGAGGGAAACGACCGTGTCTCTGTAAGTGATTACTCACGAATTTCCGTGGATTCGTTGTATTTTTGATGTAGTGATTGGACAATGAAGAAGGAATATTCAGTGATAAGACATTCGACTGACGTTTCTAGAGAAGCACTGCTAAACAAATCCGTCAGATTATATTCTACAAACCCTCATGAATTGCAAACTTTATCAATAAAAATCGCTTAACAGATTTAGCTAAAGGGTTCCTTCAATGAACAGACAGAGCTACAAATTACAAAGATATCAATCAGAGAACTGTATTTGTCACTTGGTCCGTGCGGTTCAACAATCGCACGGGAATTTTCACATTAATTGAGTTATGTTTACTTAGAGGTCTGCTCTGCCAAATACTAGATATGAATAATTGTAAAACTTGAATGGTCTTGTCTGGATGCCTGGACAAGTGAAAGAGTGACTCTCCAGTCACAATCACTGCAACATCCATACATATATGTCATGTTTTGTTAACGCGAATGTGAATATTTCTCAAGCGGCAATTACACATTACATAGTAAATAATGGAAACAGTTTTACCACGGGAACTCACCTGTGATTTGTGATGAATGGTCAGTCAATAACCAACTTGATACTGATAGAATATTTTATTGGACTATTTATACCACCGACAAATGCCTCTGTTTATTTCATTGGTCACTCTCAACAACCTTGTGTGCATGTTTGCGTGATTTTCCTGTTAGCATTCTGTTAAAATCGGATTTACCGGATTAGAGAAAAGTCATAAATACGAAACTGTGATGGAAACGAAATCGTGTGTGTAGGTCACAGCTCATATTGCTGTTTCTCTCTGTGGCTGATATACGTGATATACGTTAGTAACTGTATAATACACAGACATATCTATTATTTCATATCAACTAAATCTTATAGAAAGTAATCTGGTGGGTACTAACTGCCGTAGAAAAAACGATATCACACTCGGCGTTGTGGCTCTCGTGACCTTCTTGTCCTAGTGCATCTCACTTTGATGTTTGAAACGATGAGTACTGAAATTAGACCGCATTAAGGACA